CACACACACACACACACACACACACACACACACACACACACACACAAAGAGTTGATTACAAAACAAGACACATGTGGGAACAGTGAGGGGAAAGGAAAACAAAAGACCAAAAAGTAGGAGGTAAAACCAAAATAAGACACGATAAAAACAACCTTTGAAGTAAAACAGGAAGTGACCAAAAGACAAAGCAGAGAGGCATGAATACGAACATGAAGCGCTCTGACAGCTAGAATAACATTTAACATAATGACTGACTAATGTGGGCTTTTTTTCATTTCTTTCTTTGTTTTTTAGTGCTCTTTTACTGGAGGTTAAGTAACAGGTGCTACCTGCTGCATTCCTCTTTTTATCTATAAAACAAACACCATATTAATGTTCTGAGTAATATTCTTAATGTTACGTACGAGCAGCCGTCATCAAGTCGAGGTATTCAGCTTTCACATTTGTCAAGAGTGTAAAGAATGTTCTTTCACTTTTAGTGAACACTCAAATCAAATCACATCAAATCACTTTTATTGTCACGTACTGCAGTATCCGGTCCAGGTTCGGGACCGGATACTGCAGTACCTTGCTCAGTACTTTACTGTTCAAATTGTAAAGTAGTTTGAACAGTTTATGGCTGGGGTGACTGGAGTCTTTGATGATCCTCCTGCCCTAATTCATCCAAAGTGTCATTCTCCCCTCCAAACACACCTGTGATTTTTCTCTCCCTAGGTCTGCAGCTGTCAATCTCACTGTGCCACTCTACGGGAGAGAAGAAAAACAACCGGGCATCTCCAGAGAAACCCAAACCGGACGACCACCTTTACGTACTAGAACACAATCTGCATCAGATGATGAGAGAGGTGAGAAGTGAGATTCCTGTAGAGCGCAATCTATTAACCACCTCTGGAGGAAACCTACCAGATATGATCTGAAATGCGTTAAATATTTTTAAGCTTTGCCTTTTTTTTCTCTTTTTCCTTTAACTTTTAACTATATATCCTCAAAAAATCCATCTCAGTTAGGGAATACTGGTCAGGTCTCATTGTGCTTAGAATGCAAGATAAAGACCGTAGAGAATTAAAGAGAAAACTGCAATAGTCCCCTGCAGTATTACTTGGTGATAGTGGGGAGGAAGAACTCCCTTTTAACAGGGAGAGAGCACCGGCTGAATTGCACTCAGGAAGAGACAGTCATTTCTGAGCAGAGGGTGCTTACAAGAAAAATACAGCTACAAAGTGAAGGAATCTATGAGGGGTTTTTTCTTGTAAATTTAAAGTTTTAATGTTGGATTTTTTTTTTTAGATATTAAGATATTTGTGTTCTTCTACCTACAACAACCCTGGAAACCTGTCATCTTCTACTCTGCCAGGAGACACTTCTATTGTTATTAATTTAAATTTCATTGTCTCAGTGCACATTTCATTGGCAACATTTGTTTCTTTTATAGTTTCACAAGCAGCAGCTGAGCTCTGTGGTGATACCGCACCCTTCTAGCGCTCCCTTTGCGCACAAACGTCTGCGTTTGGCAGGGCCACTGGCCTATGACAAGGCAGAAATCTCCAGTTGGCAGCAGACTGAGGGGCTGCTGGAGAAGATGATCAAACAGGCCAAACACATCTTCCTACGTCGCAGGTAAAATATCCTGATGTAATTTTACAAATACAGAAACAGTTACCAGCAGCAATATTGAATTTTACTGCAAATTTAGGAGCTCCAGAAACTTTAGCAGCCCAAAAAAGCAGCGTTTGCCTACATTTGGCTAGCAGATGGCTCACATTGTCTTTGTTGTTTCATCAGAATCAGAATACTTTATTAATCCCAAACTGATTATGGAAATTAAATTATGTCCTTTTATCTTAAAATATTGAACCTTTTAACAGAAGAATTGTTGTTAGCTACTTTTTGTTGGCTGTATAATGCTTAGCAATACTCTTCACGGGTACCACGGTGTTTGTGGTCAACAGGACGGCACGTACCATCGATAGTCTGGCCAGTCGGATTGAAGACCCACAGATCCAGGCTCACTGGTCCAACATTAATGACGTATACGAGTCCAGTGTCAAGGTGCTCATCACTTCACAAGGCTACGAGCAGATCTGCAAGTAAGTGGAGTGCAGAGGAGTTTATTTTACTCATTATTTTAAATATCAATATTTATTTTTATTTATTTTTTTATTTGTACATTTTATTTTTACTATATTTTTTATTATCACAGATTTACAGATTTTAAATATTTACTAAATATTCACTATTCATTTTGTACTATTGTTATTTTAATTTAAAATATATATTTTTTTTAATTATTAGAATTAATAAATTTTGTATTTTGTAATCGAAAAACTCAACAATTGAAAAATTCCTTGACACAAAGTTTTGCTTTGCTGATTTGTTTAATGCTCTGCTCTGCAGCGCTCAGTGGCCGCCATGTAAATGCAAATGTTTTACCTACATTTGCAACTAAAAACAAACCTGCAATAGAAATGTATCTAGGAGCAGCATGTGAATAAAAAGTATGACAACATTAAACCCACATGGTCCCCAGTTTTTAAACAAAATTACTGATAACACAGCAGCAACAGTGACTGTCTAACTGAGACGGTGAGCTCATTTTTCTAGTGTCCAAATCAGAGCACTGTTATCACCATCACAACCTTTACTGGGAAACAGCTGGCAGGGTCCTTCAAAAAACAACCTGCTTAATGAACTTTGATGTGAAGAAAAGAGGACTTTAAAGTAGGGCTTTTGACCCACATTTGACCCACTGCATGCAATTCATTTGCATGACTGTTTTTTTGTTGTTGTTTTTTATGGGCATTGTATGTAGTTATATTACAACATTGGTACACACTGTAGAAATAACAATTTTCTATTTCCTGTTTTTTTGGGGGGGGGGTTTGATAACCTGTGGGTTTTTTTTGTTTGTTTTGTTTTGTTTTTCTCTTTTAAGTATTTATTATAAGGCAGACGTATTTCTTATCCAGTTACTTGAATAATCAATAGGATACTTGATTACTAAAATATTCAATAGCTGCAGCTTTTATTATTTAATAGTCTCAGGGCTCGCAAAATCGCTATCCTGACGTCCCGGGGCTAGCGATTTTTCCGGTCAGGCTACCAAAATCAATCTCAGCCCTGCTCATCAGGCTATCATAGGAAGAAAAAATATATGTCAATACTTTTGCATCCTTTCGCAAACGTAGCTGGGTAATGTTGTCATTGGCATCGAAGAGCCACTGTCAGTATGTGACATAATGAAATCGCGTTTAAATTTGCGCTTTTTTTGTTTTTGTTTTTTGCTTCACGTTCACTTTGCCATTGCGCAAACTGTGACTAGAGAGCAGCAGTACTGATTGGTGAGTGACAGATTAATTCCTCTCCAATTCCTTATCACTCGTTAGCTTACTATGCAAATATGACAAGTGAAATCTTCCGCAGCAAGCTTAAACATGTCATAGAGGTTGATTGTGCAGAGAATTGCTGATCATTATGCAAGTGCCTGTGTAAAAGCAGATGGATTTACGCAGGTATTTTAGTTCTGCAGAGCCAAATAAGACAGGTCAGGGTGAAGAGGGGACAGCCAAAGAAAAGCCGACCACAAAATGGAAAAGTTATGACAAATCAGACTATGAGGCAAAAAGAAAGCGCAGCTTTTTTGGTTTCATGGACAAAAGAATTTCTGTGGCTGCAATATGACGAGCTAAATAACATAAAGTTCTGCCGGGTGTGTCATTAGTTTCACTCGATTTCTGAGTCGACAAGTGCCTTTGTTACTGGGACCAGTAATTTTAAGAAAGACCCCATCAGAACCCTTGAGAAATGCAAGAAATGCATTATTGCTCAGTCTACAGTATCTTTCCCTGAACAAACGCCAATTGCAAAAAACATATGAAAAATAAACTAAGCACAACAAGAAGTCCTGAAAAATCTGTTTAGAACAGCGTTCTGTGTTGCAAAGAGTGAACTACCTTTGGCAAAATTTAGCAGTCTTTGCAAACTTTGCAAACAAAGCAAATGGCCTAGATCTTGGTTCCACTTACCTCTTACCATTATATTTTTCTATTTTCGTTCACTGCTGTTGTGAACTATATAAATAAATGGATGTGAAAAAAGCTTTTCACTCCTCATATATGGATGTTTACATGACTCTGGACCAGCGTGTTTGATCCTCTGAAATGAGGCTCACTGTGTTTTATTTGGTGTGTTTAGGTCCATCCAGCTGCAGCTGAACATCGGTGTGGAGCAGATCAGGGTGGTGCACAGAGATGGACGTGTGGTCACGCTGTCACACCAGGAACAGGAGCTGCAAGACTTTCTCCTCTCACAGGTAACACCAGTAACTTCCACAGTTATTGGAGGAGGCTGAATTTACTAGAAGCATGGCTGCACACTGTTGACTGTAATGCTTCAGTATTTAGTTCTGCGTATGCCTGCCTTCTTTTCACAGATGTCGCAGCATCAGGTACATGCAGTTCAGCAGCTGGCTAAGGTGATGGGCTGGCACGTCCTGAGCTTCAGTAACCATGTAGGTCTGGGCCCAGTGGAGAGCATCGGAAATGCCTCCGCGGTCACTGTTGCCTCTCCCAACGGAGAGTACGCCATCTCAGGTGAGACTGATGGCTCTCGGATCCTCAGGTTTCTCTGTAGTAGGAAGAGCATATTAGCAGCAGCAACTCAGTACTACTCATGCCTCTATGCATGAGACATTCAGGCTCTCCCTTAGCTAACCTCCCCCCAATAAAGGCTAAAATGTAAAAAAAAAAAAAAAATTATATATATAATTTTTTTTTTTTTTAAAGAAAAGGCAGAAACTAATGTAATAAATCAAGACGACACCCAGTCTGTCAGTTCATGGAAAATTACTCAGGATTAAGCAGACAGGTTGATACAAGTTGGGGAATCTTTGGGAAACTTCCTCTCTTCAAACATCATTGAAATGCATCATGAACCGGTTTCCATGCAACACTCATACTGAATATCTGTAAACACTGAAAAATAATGTGTGGCGAGACAAGAGAGAAACTTTATTGTCATTGTTTAAAAACAACAAAAGTCTGCTCAGCAGCTCTTTATCATTATGCAGCAAAGTAAATAACTGTCAGTGGTTTTTCATTAAAGTTTCTTTTCTCTTCAGTACGTAACGGCCCAGAGAGCGGCTGCAAAGTCTTGGTGCAGTTCCCTCGCAGCCAGATCAAAGAGCTGCCAAAGAGCGACGTCATCCAGGACGCCAAGTGGAGCCACCTCAGAGGGCCGTACAAAGAGGTCCATTGGAGCAAGATGGAGGGCCGAAACTTTGTCTACAAGATGGAGCTCCTCATGGCGGCGCTGACTCCCTGTCCTTAGGTGCTGACTCTGTCTGCTGACTCCTCCCACACACAAAATAACAGTTTATTTAAAGAGGACAATCTTCCTTCATAGACTCTCTTCCTCACATTTGAAAGAATCGACAGCACTTTCATTTCTTTTATTTTTTAACCAACTTGTGGACCGCCGTAAAGTCTGTCCACACAAGTGTCCTCTGCCTGTTGCTTATAGTGTAAGGTGTGGACTGTGTGTATATACCTCAAACAGTTTGATACAAAATAAAAAGCAGTCTGTCTACATATATTTGTCCTTTTTCTTAAGAATACAGCTATGGATCAAAGAGACACTGTTTATAAAACTGAACTTAGGGATTTGCCGGTTCAAACTTTAAATTTGACCACATTAAGTTCAACGTTGTCTTAGGAGTGTGTGTGTGTGTGTGTGTGTGTGTGTGTGTGTGTGTGTGTGTGTGTGTGTGTGTGTGCAGTTTTAATACCACTCCATTTGTCTGATGTGACAACATTTTAGATAAACTAACTTTGAGTCTGGACTCTGGACTTTCAGGCAGGTGGGGAACCTGAAGTTCCTGTGTAGGCACGAGGGAGGAGAGAGTTCATTAAGAAAGAAATCACAAAATCATTTGCACTGTGAACCGGATATTTTTTCTTTAGGTAATAAAAGAAAAACAATTATTTTCTTTTGTTTCTACATTCATTCATTCTTTATTCCTGCATTTCTTCCTTTCTTCCTTTTCCGGGCCGTGATCAGCTGACCTGTGTCACTGCAGCTTCATGGCTCCGTGTGGATTTAGCAAACTGCAATTACTACTTGACTGCTTTGGACACAACTTTATTTACATTACTTTCTGATTTGCTGAGCCTGTATCATCAAGGCCTCAGCTGAAACTATCACCAGCCTGCAGCACACAAAAGCGAAACTCGTTTTTTGTTATCATGAAATAATCTGATTTAATTGCTTATTAATTAAACCAGCCCAGTTTAACCCTTGGTCATGAGTAAAATAAAGTCACACAGTTTCTTTGCTTAGAGAATAAATACAAGATTTATTGTGTTCCTGTATCATCGGTGGTATATTCACATTCACTCATTCAGTGACAGTCATCTGTAAATATCAATATCAGTACAAAATATCAACACAGTGCAGGTGTTCATAACTGACTGGTCATGCTTTGAGCTGTAAGTAACTAGAGTATATAAAGAGGACAGTTTGATGTACAAAACATTCCACCTTCAAAAGTATGTCCTCATGTTGTATCACTGACAGCTTTGATTGGCCATTTCAGGTGAGTCATCACTCAGACGTTCATTATCTGCAGCTCAGTCACATCGTTTTCTGCAAAAAAAAAAGGGATTAAAGTGTCAATACATGATTAAGACAACAAACGAAGCTATAATAGGTCTTCACAGACCTTTGCACTCAAACACACCCTTACTGTGATACAATGATAGAGTCAAACCATAGTCAACCATCACACCCTTCAACCTATATTTATTCTCCACACAAGCATGCAGTGGTAAGAAGAACACATTTTAACTTTAGATAAAACAACACGCTCACAAACGTGTTTATGCGGAAAATTGTCTTCTTTATTATTTCACCCATTACCTAAAAAAGCAGCCACACTTCAGACACTGTATCAGGTTTTATTTGCCTCCTATATGAAACCAGTTTGTAACTTATTTAGTAGTAGTCTTCAGGAATAGTTCTATGGCTATTCTTTGGATTTGGCTGCTTCGTGTTCTGTTCTCTCTGAAGATGATCCCACACTGCTTCAATAATATTGTGTCAGGACTCTGAGGAGGCCAGTCCATGACTGATGGTGTTCCACTGTGTGTTTTTCTATCCAGGTGTGCATTTACTGTGCTAGCAGTGTGTTTGGGATCATTGTCATGCTGAAAAATTAAGCTGCTGTAAGTTTCCAGATGGTATAGCACAGGGGTAGGCAACTCCAGGCCTCGAGTGCTGGTGTCCTGCAGGTTTTAGATCGCACCCTGGGTTAACACACCTGAATCAAATGATTAGTTCATTACCAGGCCTCTGGAGAACTTCAAGAAATGCTGAGGAGTCATTTAGCCCATTAAATCAGCTGTGATGGATCATGGACACATCTAAAACCTCCAGGACACCGGCACTCGAGGCCTGCAGTTGCCTACCCCTGGTATAGCATGATGGATCAGAATCTGATGGCACTCTTTCTGTGTTCAAAATTTCTGCCCCAAACTTCTGCATGACAGAACTTTATGACTAAACCTGCACCAAGAGTTCATCCTCAGCACCAGGGAGAGTTTTGGGGAAACTGGCCTGCAAATGTGCCCTGAAATCCCTGAAAGCAGCAGGTCTGCCATGGACTACCTGTTAAACTGCATGTAGTTCAGACTATGCCTGTTTAGTGCAGACAATAAAGTATTGCATGAATGTGTATAAAGGTGTCCTGTAGTGTTTCCATTATCATTGCCACAAAAATGTAATAAATTCTGTAAAACACTGGATATTTGCAGGAGAAACAGACACACAAATCTTTTTATCTTTTTGTATTTATTTGTTTTGGTTACATAGTTGTCCTCCATGTAGAGTGACCTATTTTGGTTATGAAGGTTTTCAGCACATATCCATACAAGAAATCAGGGAAGAATATGTTTGAGCAATGCCAGCAATCCAAAATCTTCTGAATGGGTATTCACAAGACATTTCCAAGTTGCAAACCTGTTTTTCTGGCATCACCTGAATGCACAATCATTGACACCATTAGAGGATATTCACTGAGATGGATTCTGCTGTTTACACATGGCTTTACCTGGCATCTCTCTCCTGCGCTTGCATGCCATTATCTTCTTGTAGGCCTTGTCCAGGAGCCACATGGTGAGCATAAGAAGGCCGGCCAAGCAGGCCAGGGCCAAAAAAGAGACAGTAAGGTACTGAAGGTCCTCATACAGAACCTCTGTAGGACAGAAACACAGGAGCCACATCTTATTTACTGCAAACTAAACTGCAAATAGGGCTGATCTGTTTATTAAAGATAATTTTTCATCATGTTCACTTGTTAAAAAAAAGACTTCCCCTCTTTGGTCAATCCATATGTTCTTCCTTCCTGCATTCATTCCTCCCTAAAATTATCACAGCACATGTGCCATTCTTCATTTTCATAGTTTATTTGCTTTAGAGTTACTCTGTCTGGTGTGGAAAACAGTTCTGAGCCTGCCTCTAATAACCACAGACGCCATGTTTGGGAAATCTGGGCAGGGCGTTTGTCGTCTTTAAATCCAAACAACTGTTACCACAATGCCAGTCAGACTACGTCAAACTGAAGCCGAGGGCTTTTGTTGATGCTCTAATCACGATTAGTGCTGCTTTTTTAAATCCTGTGAAGAAATTCTTTGTACAGGTATGACAGAAGTGCTGTTAATTACCTTAAGCTTTAAAAACTGAGCTGTTCTGCCAGGACTGTTTCTTTCTTTTATGCTCTTTTTCCCTCGTTGTGTGTTAGTTTTCTGTTTTGTTTTTTAATGTAAAGACTCTCACCATTTACTTTTAGGACGAAACCAAAATCCTTGCTGCTCCCAGTTGATTCTGTGATGGTGACCACGTAAAATCCACCATCCTGCAGCCGCAGGTCTGACAGGCCCATCGAACCGTTGTCATAGGCCTGCACTCGGCTGCTGTAGTCCTCCGTTATGTTGGTGTACCCCCCCGGCTGCCAGGCCCCTATCGTCCGGCTCACCAATCCTGACATAAAAGTCCATTGTATGTTTGGGATCCCGCTACAGGTGAAATTCACTGAGAAGATCACATCGTCCTGCACTGAGCGGATCAGGCTCCTCTGAGGAGAGTATATGGAGATGGCTCCAGCTAAACAAACACATGAACATACATGCATACATTAGTCTGTATTCTCTGGGTTATTCTAGAATCAGCTGAATGTAAGTAAGTCAAAGGGAAATTCTGCTTTGCATCAGAAGAAAATTAACACAGCAGCAAATTGCAAAAAGAGCCTCAGTGATCCAGACTCTCCTAAAGTCCTAAAGTTGTTTGAGTAAAGTGGTACTTCCAAACTATTATACAGGACGTGAACACCAGTGTTGTTTCTTCCTTCAACAGCCATAAGCTGCGTTCACAGGTGTTAACATGTGGTTAAATTACAACATGTTGAACTGATTCTGGTATCAAAATACATGTAAAGGGAGACCTTTCCTGTGCTATAACTTGTTTTATCCAGCCACCTATCCTGCAAGGTGATATGACCTTTAAAAGTTTACCCAAAATGCATTTTTTTAAACTTTTCTCGAATTAATGATCAGAAAACAGATCAAACATCCAGGACACCAATACATGTGTCATAACTTGGCAGAGAGAGGACCCAAGCATCGGGCACGTAGGCAGATTCAAATGATAATGAGCCTTTACTTGGCTGAGACAGGACTACATACTGGGCAATATCTGGGGATTCGAGAGTCAATACATACAGGAAGTAAGAAGTGGAAACAAGACACATGAGAAAAGTGTCTATCAAAGTAAAACAAGAAATAAACACACAAACAACACTACTCAGAATAAACAGGATCATAGAGACAGACGACTCAGCTGGAGGAACAAACACTAACATGACAACTGAACCAGAGCCCAGTGATATCACTTCACAAAATCTAAAGTCAGAGTTACTAGAAGCAGAATTCATAGAAAACACTAGAGTACAGATGAAAACAGCTCAAAACTGCAAGAGCATGACAAATATTTCTGTTACTCTTTAGCTTTAGAATTAAATTAATGTGGCTCATACCGTGTACATTATAACATAATAGACCCATTTCTGTAATATACTCACATATCTATATTATTGCTAATATATATTGTAATATAACTATATCACTAAAGCACTTCTGGATGGATGCAAACTGCATTTCGTTGCCCTGTACCTGTGCATGTGCAATGACAATAAAGTTGAATTCTATTCTAATTCTATTCTATTCTCTGCTGTTGAAAGTAAGACATATGTCACGATATCTTATGTTAAGGTGGTTATGAAAAAGAAACAAAAGCAAGATCTTGGCTTTAGATTACAATGTTCCAACCTTTGTATTTCAACGGACTGTAACTCAAAAAATATTCAAACTATGAGGATAACATTTTTATCATTAGATATACGGATGTTATTTTAAAGAAAAATCTGTTGATTCTCAGTGGTGGGGGGAGAGACTTGAGTCACAGTGATAGCAATTAGAGTAGAAACATGCTGGTGTGTGACACAATCGAGCGCCATAAAAAGGACTCATTCCACCATGACACGGTTAGCTGCTGTTCCTGACAAACACTGTGGCATGTCTCCTGCTCTGCCTCTGCTCTGTCTGATCCCCCACCCCCATCCTCTTTTCCCCAGAGGATTAAAACTAGTCAAACTAGCTGGGAGGTATCAGAATGAATATAAGAGGCAGTGTGTTTAGGCCAAGCTTTAATGCATATTTTCACGTGCGTGTCAGGGAGAGATCTGGTTCTGCTGGTAGTGTGTTTGTTTAATGAAGCAAGAATTTAAAATGAAAAATACTAGCGCTGACTGAGAAGCAAGTCAGTATGGGAGATATCTTTTTGTCTGGACTCCCCCCCCCAAAAAAACCTTTTACCAACAAACCCCGACTGACTCTTTCCTTATTTTTCTGTTAAGAAATCACATAAATACTTTTTAAAGCAGCTCTGATGTATTTTCTTTTGACTGTTTCCTGCACCCTGGTTCGCTTTTAATTTTGCTACTTTTGTTTTGTGTTTCCTGAGATTTGGTTTAGATTCAGATTTTTTTTGGAAACAACACTTCTGGGCATTCGGATGTTATTTCTAGGATCGTTATGTCGGTGGGACACAGCTTTATAGGTTCTGAAGCCTTGAGTGGTTGCCGTTTTATAGTTCAGATAAGGTACTTTGCAATCTTCAGCTTTCTGACTGTCACGTGGTTGCAGACACGATACAGCCAGAGAAAGAGAGAGTGGGCTCATCGTGTTATAGAGCGGGGGCTTGACTCCTCGGGACCTCAACAATAGAAACAGATCAGACATTATGTAATAAATTCCCTATCAGGCTTCAGCACGGTTTCATGGCTACATGCCTGAGCTCTGCTTAGATAATATTAGGGAATATTGACCTTTTTACTTCCCACTTCTGCCATGATCGCCTATATTTACTTTCTACTGACAGGACCGAAACTTCATCCAACATTTCAAGTGTTAAACAAACATAGGTAGGTCGTACCACAAAGATAAAGCAGCAGAATTAGGAATGTGTTGAGCTTACCTAGGTGGCACATATATAACATGATGCTGAGAAAAACAGCAACATCTTGTATTTCCCAGAGCCTGAAATGCCACATTAGGATTCCAGACCCATCTGTCGAACTGCTGCAGAAGAAGCTTCCCGGGTTTATTTTACATTTTGTAGCATTCTCCTCGCCTTTCACCTTTTCCCATGGTTTCTTCTTCTTCTGTTTGACTTCCTGGAGTTTCTGAAAGTTGTTCTTCTATTGCTTTCCTTCTGCTTTTCAGGAATGCAAAAGCTTCCCTCCTCTCTCTCAAGACTGTGTTGGATTTGACATATCTGCGCAAGTCACTGCCAGCCAGCCCACACCTATCAGACAGGTTGAGCCGGAGATTACTGAGCAAACATGTAGTCCTTGTGTGGCAGTGCTCTCTCGCACACTCACACACAACTGAAGGCTGAAAGCCGTTGAGCAGTATATTCTAATTTACCTATTGCAACCACTTACTTGTCTATCTGCAGACACACTGTCACAAAATGAAAGTGGGACAGGTGGAATCAAGTAGCGACACACCTGGCAAAACATGTCAAACAGGAAGTACTGTATTCACATGTATGCACCTAAAAACACACACACAGTGACAGTCAAATGAAACTTCCCTTTAGGAGGCATATTAAAGCTGACTGTCTGTAGGTAACCCAGGTCTTATTTCTCGCTGTTACTTAGTTTATAATCATTTTAGACTCTAAGGGTGTTTTTTTAATGAATTTATGCGCTTACCAAGACCAGTGTTAGACAAGGCTGCACCAAAGCACACAATAAAAATCCAACATATATAAATGAAAGGAATATTAAAAACAAAACAAAAGAACAAGTTGGATACCAATTTAAACCCATACAAGACTGAGTTACAACATCAAAATTAAATAAAATAAAACAAACATTTGGCTCCAAGGTCGAGAATAAATTACATTAACCCAAGAATAAAATTTAAAATTTACAAGTAAAGCCCATGTGATACTCAATTGCAACACTGCAATAAAATAAAAGACTCCTCCATTCCCTAGTTAAGAATGAATAAAAATAAATAAAAATAAAATGTACAGTATGATTAAAGATAAACTAAATACCCATTGTTACAAAATGTGACGTAACACATAAGTAACAAAGAAAGCACTGGCATCAAACATGTTACATCATAGAATAACAAACAAAAAACACTCAGAGTATTTGTACATGGATGAACAGAGAGTTGGTTGTAGCTCAGTTAAATGGATGGCATCTGTTAAAGCATGAGGTGCTCTGTGAAGAATTCCATTACCATAAAAGCCAGAACATTTGGTAGATTTATGGTTAGAGATGAATGAAGTTAAAGAAATAAGCTTCAAAATGCTAAATGAGATATAATAAGGTCTTACTTGGATGTGAGTGACTGTGTATTGTGTGGGAATAATGTATTTGTTTTTGTGAATTACTGCAGTCTGCCTCGAACAATATTTGCAGCTCACTACAAGACAAGAAATCTGAATTAAAATAAAAAGATCAGATATACTTTGTTAATATTAATACTAATACTAGAACAACTAATGTTACTGATAATTATAATAACAGTACCTCCAGCAACAACAGTAATCACTATAATAAATAAAAATAATACTGATTGTAAAATAAGAGCCGTGCATAACATACAAAAAATAAATGTTAAAATTAAAGAGCACGTGACTAATCAAATTTAGAGCATGACTTTGTTTTAATGTGAAATAAATTTAATACACATAAATTCGTACGTGTTAAAATGAAACCATTCGTAAACTGATGGTTGAAGGAGTGTAACCTCCAGCTGTAGGAGTCTTTCTTTACTCAATTTTTGTAAGTGTGACCCTTTTTATTTCCGTGGCAAAGACTATCATTAGTTATTTTTTCATTTTATTTTATTTTTTTATTATTTTCTGTGTCTACAATGTATTTTTGTATTTTCGCATGTCCGTTAATTGACTTATTAATTAAAAACAAAAAGTTCCGGTTACTGGCGTCCAAGCTCACGACCTCTGCGCATGTTCGAACTTCACGCGCTCGCGCTTTAGCACATGAGAAACCCTTGAAGTCCTGAAGGTGACTTCTGGTAAGTTCATTTTTACTAAGTGGCATTTTGTTTATCTAATCCGACGTTGCTGTTATGTTCTGATAAAAGTTACCAAGCGGTAAATTTCGGTCGTGCATTTCTTGTCTTCGACCAAATTTCTGTGTGACGCAGCACGAATGTGGGGATTAGCTAAAATAGCGAGCTAGCGTGCCTAAATTAAGCCGTTCTGAGTTTGTAATAAAACTTCTAATTTTTATATTTTTGGTGAATTAATACGTGTCCCCACACGAGATTGCTCCAAGTGCGCTAAAGGCATATTTACTTATTATTATTTTGTTTTTTTCGTCCCCTAATCCCCTTTCACAGAGATTTCGCCATGTTGCTTCCACGTGTACCACAGTGCCCGTGCTCACGTGCATTGTAGCAGTCACAAACTGAGTGGACGCTTTTATAAGTTGTCAGTTTGATTTGACACAGCTGTGTGAGAGTGGAGGAGTTGAGATAAAGTTAATTTAACCCTAACATGTGTTTTTGTTAAATCTGTGGACACTTTTATGGAGGGTCTGTGCTGATGTTATTTGTTAATTCACTCTGCCTTATTTTACAAACTGTACACGTAAAAAAAAAAGTGACCGGAGTTTACCCTTTATCTGTAGTCAGACCTATTCGCCGTCACCTGCTGCTTTAACCTGCAAATTTCTTTGCTGGGTGTTTGATTTGGGGCATGAAGAGTGCAATTAACCCTCCGCGCCACCAGAGGCCGCTAGTGAAGCGCCGCAATATATGTATTCTAACTTGAATCATTAAAACAATAATTTACATAAGCAGATGGGCTTGTTCCGTTTTGTTAAGTTAAAATAACACTCACTTGGCGTATTGGGTCTAGGTTGCGGCGTTAATGTGCTTAAAAATGCAGTTTATTTCTTGTTTTGCGCTTTCGTTTCCCATTGGAGTGACGCGTACCACGTGTACCGGAAGGCAAGATATTATTTATTTGCGAACGTTAGTAGACATAAATAAAACGGGATTCAACATAACACTGGTTATACCTAATCTGATGACCTTATGGCTACCGTTTTATGTCTTGAAATAAAAAGCATTCTTTTTCCGAACCGTGAGTGAGGGAGACTGTGCGGGAAGTGACTCCGTCTGCTCCGACGTATTCCCGGCATCGCTTCTCGGCCTTTTGGCTAAGATCAAGTGTAGTATCTGTTCTTATCAGTTTAATATCTGATACGTCCCCTATCCGGGGACCATATATTAAATTGATTTTTGGAGCAGGGAGATGGAATAGGGGCTTGCTCCGTCCACTCCACGCATCGACCTGGTATTGCAGTATTTCCAGGAACGGTGCACCCCCCTAAACATGTGGAAAAATATTGAAAGTTTGGCCAGGTGGTCACAGCACCAGAGTAACTGAGACCCCTTACGGTTTCTTGTTGCTTATCACCAATTTGGAATGTTAGATTCCAAATTATTATATTAAGTTGCAACACAACAATGATGCAAACACATAGTTACTGCAGACAAAGCAGCACACAAAAAAATTGTATCTTGGTGGATTTAAAAAAAAATGTATTTAATGAGATTTTCCAATGCCTGACTAAAGCTGGCAGGGAAACAAATTGTCTGCAGTTTGTGGAAAATTGTTTATTTATCCATCTACAGTGGGAAACAAAACCACATCTACATTTATTGTCTTTAAGTCTTCTATTGATCATTTTCCAATATCCTTTTCTATATATTGGCACATTTATTTCAGTAGAAACAGAAAGCAGCTTGTGATTTAGAGCTATTTCTCATATTTTGTAGGCTTTGTAATATATTATATTATTTATTTATTTCAGTCTGTTACTGTTATCCTCTTGGAGCAACTGTAACCCACACAATTTCCTTAAGGATTATTAAAGTATTCTGATTAGAGAAGAAAAAGGTGCAGTGCTGGTGGATAATATTTTTATTTTGCTTGCAGTAAATATTTTTATTTTATTTAACCTTCATTTATACAGCTAGTTCCAGTGAGACTAAATGTCTTATTTACAGTAGTCCAGTCTGCTTCTTAACCATCTATTATTTTCTGAAGTAGAACCTGGGTCGTCTTTATGTGTTTCACTGAATGTGCCTGAGAGAGAAAATGTTAAACCCTAGTACGTGCCTGCCTGTGTCCAGTGACGTATAACAATCTCTTGCTATGAAAACTGTTCTGTTGTTCATGAAATAAGTGGCTGTGTCACCCAGCAGCTCTCTGTGGGCTGTGGGTTTGGTCTTTATGTTTATTATCCGAAGCGCTTTTCTCTTAAAGTTGGCTCATTCCTTGGTAAATCTGACTATGACTATATCAGCTGCATCTATTGGGTTATTTTGGTAATAGATTGATCTATTGATGTTTTTTTTTACCCATCAATTGTTTCATTTTTCTAAAAAGACCCCCAAACCTTTTGTATTTACGTGACATCTGAAATTGTAATTTTTTAAAGAAAATATTTTCTTAACTGCCAAAATATATAAATGCGCTCAAGTAAAGTCAAAGCCAAATAAAGTAAGATAAATATGCAATCTAAAATAAGATAGAAAAAATGAATCTTTACTGTCTTCGTGGAAGGCTTTGAGATTTTGTTCATGCGTCTGCTTGTTTAAGTGTGCAGTGAATTTCTGTCTGTAAGCCTTTAAAGGAGAATGTGGTGCCTGCAATGCAGCGATGCGAGTATATCAGCAGTCTGAAGTTTGCCTTTGATGCAAAGTTTTTATGCTGCTGCAAACAAGATGTTATGATGGTGTAGACATTAATTAATATTAATAATAATTTAGTGTCCAACGTAACGTCACTGTTGCTGTGGTGATGTCAGTGCTTCTTTTCAAAACTGGGCCCTGTGTTTGCTTAATATTGTCAGACTTTTTATTCACACGCTGCTCCTAAATCCCTTTGTATCGCAGGTCTGCTTTTAGTCGCAAATGCAGGTGAAATGCACGCGTTTACATCCTTGAACACATCGGCAGGCTACAGAGCTGGGCATTAAATGAAGCAGCGAAGCAAAGACTGTGTTGAGGATTGTTTATAATCCAATTTTTCAAAATACTTGATGAATCGCTGCAGCCCTATTTCGCTGTAAGAAGTGTAATTCTTGCAAAATGCATGCATTGAAGTAACATTTAAAGTAAGAAAAGGCTTCGGCTCTTCTGTAATAGGTTTTGTATTTGATTTTGGATCTGGACAGTTACTGAGGGTCGCCTGTGAGATGAGGGAGAATAGTAGGAAATATTGATCCAGCTATCACCCCCTCATCATCTTGTTTCCTGTCACTGCAAAAGTGGACAGGAATGCTGCTCTGCAGAAT